TTTCCCTCCATGAAATTTCATCTACAGGGCCTGGTGGCCAGGAAGAACATCTCTGTCCTCAAAACCACGGGCACTCTATGTCTAGGGCCGAGGAAATCAGAACTGAAACGTGTCTCCAGTTCTTGTGTTTGTCAGTGACTCGTGTCTTCCAGGGGAGCCCAGATCTATAGGGAAGCTGGACAGGCTGATGCTTCTGTATATAGCACAGCACGTTCAGATTAAGCTTTAGCCAAACTTATAGGTGTGTCAATTAACAGAATTTTATAGGACCAAATTCACGTCACAAGCACACGGTTGGAATTCAAAGCCACATAGAATTTTCCACAGCCAAGTTGATGGCCATCACTAAAGATGAACCAAGCCCTGATTTCGTGGTAGGTGTAGTGAGTGAGAGAAACCCCATTTGGAACGTAGGAGTGGGAGGCTAAGAGGCAGCGCTTGGAATCTGTTCGTTTATTTCTTCAATCAGTCTGATTAGATGGAGCAGGAAGCTTCTTGGAGCAGGGGACTGTCTGGGTTGGGCCTTGAAGGATATGTGCGAGATTCCCTTCTCTACACCCACTTAGCATGCAGTATGGTGGAGAGCGGCAGGGCTCCCAGAGGGTCCTGGGTTTGAATCTGGCTCCACCTCTGCCCAGCTGAATGACTGGAGTAAGTTGTTCTCTGACCTGAAGTTTCCTTATTTGTAAAATGAGAACAGTGAACACTGTGCTTGTGAAACACCATGACGAATGGACATGAAAGCACCTGGCGAGGTGTCCGCCAGGCAGTGGGGCAGCGCAGAGACTGGTGGACAGGAGGGTATAATACCCACAGTGAGTGCTGATGAAGCTCTCCCTCCAGCCAGGGTCCTCACACACTTGACATTGATTTATCAATGATCCTATTAAATAGGTACTATTCTTAAACCCATTTTACAGATGAGAAACTGAAGTTCAGGGATAAAATAACAGGCAGATGACAGAAGCAGGACTGGAACCCGGGCAGTTTGACCCTAGAGTCCATGCCCATAGAGCCTCCCTCCTCTGCTGAAATCGCTGACACTGGGGTTGGTACTGTCAGTGTGCAGGACCACCTAGTCAGAGGAGGGAGCTGGCGGGTATGTCACAATGGGAGGCTTACGGGAGGGAGGGGTCCTGTGTCTTTGGAGAACCTGGTCCCTCGTGAAATGCTAATCATGAAGAAATACAACCTGTAATACAGCTTCTTGAGAGGCTGAGGCTGGAGGATTTCAAGTTTGAGGCCAGTCTGGGCAACTGAGTGAGACCTTGACTCAAAAATAACTAAAAAGGGCTGGGGATGTAGCTCAGCAGTAGAGCACTTGCCTGGCATGTGTGAGGTCCTGGGCTCAATCCTCAGCACCACAGATAAAAACAACACACAAACCGCCCTGGTTTCCCACGCCGGGGGAGCAGGACTGTCCTCCCGTAAGCCAGGGGCAAATGAAACCAAAGCTCAACAGGGCACAATCATTCATTTCTAAATTCGAGCTGTTCTATGAACCAGGAGCATAGAAAATAACCCAACAAAATTCTCTGCCCTAAAGGAGTTTATATTCCTGTGTGTGTGGGAGGCAGATAAGAAGCAGGCAAATAAGCAAAATATATATTAGAGAATGTAAATGTTAAGGAGAGAAAGAAAAGGGAGGGAGGAGTAAGAGAAAGCAGTTTGCAATGTTGCTTCGGTGGGATTTGGGAAGATCACTCTGAAAAAGGCAGTATTTGAGCAAAGACCTGAAGGAGGCTAGGAAGGGCAAATGCGAAGGCCCCAAGGCAGCATCCTGCTTGGTAGGTTCAAGGAATAGCAAAGAGGCAGGTGTGGCTGGTGTGGAGAGCAAAGGGGACAGAGTAGAGATGAGGTAAGAGGGGTGTGTGGGGAAGAGAAAGCACCTCCACCCATCTTTGAAATTTCTCTGTGTTATAAAAACAAACAGGAGCATAAGATGCAAACTAGGCTTGCACTTCAAAGCCAGAAGGAGACATGAATGCAGTGTTCTGGGAGCCTCCCTGCATAAACATCCCTTCAACCCCTCCCCAGACCACCTTTCCCCATCGATCTGAGACTCATGGGGGTGGAAATTGGAAGCCAAGTTGGAACTGTGATCAGTTTTCTAACAGGCTCTGAGCCTGAGTCTTTGCTCCTCCTGCTAGGTCATCTGCCGACCAGATGCCTCGAGGCCAGCCTGGGGCTGCAGACACAGACAGGTGGAGAGTCACTGGTCCAAGCTGCATTTGACAAACCCTCAGCACACCTGAAGCCAGGCCAGCTGGGGCCTTCTTTGAGGTTCCAGTGGGATCTTTCCTTTTAGGCTTGGATCATCTTTGAACTGGTTCTCACTTGGGTTCGTTCCTTTTCAGGCAGAGCTGAAGGGGAAGACTGGACGGAACTTTAAGGCAGTTCACGATTCCATGAAAAATTAACACCAAGTTCAGTTCAGAGTCCAGCAGTCACTTCAGTTTGTTTTTCAAGCCCAGATCTAAGGGGTGGCCTCCTGGCATTTATTACTTTTTGACAAACAAGCTGATCATAGAGAGAGTTGATATGATGCCACCCAAGTCCACAGGGGTGGATAGGGACAGTACAAGGACCAGCGCAGGTAACAACCATCCGGACAGCACGGGACACATGGGAAGGCGAAGTAACTCACCTACCATCTACTGGATAATGAAAACAAACTTAGGGATTTTAATGACACTTCTGTGTCAAGATGTGAATGTAAGTAGTCCGATTTTAGAGGTGTTTTTTCCAATTACCTGCATATATCATCCCTTTAACAGAGTCCTCCAAGAACATCTGGGCAACTTGCTTTGGGCTGGCAGAGGGGAAAGTTGGAAGGTTTCACTGTATTTTCGTACATATATTCAATTTGTTCAAAGATTCTAATATGTGCTGTGAGCTAGGAATGTGGAGAACCCCACCTGCACCCCGTGTTTGGCCCTTCTGGAACTCAGTGATCAACCTAACCTGGGATGTCCAGAATAAGAGCTGTGAGTCAAGCCTTATGGAAAGTCAGAAGAGAGCCCAAGTTTCCAGAGGAGGTGACATTTGCCCCAGGGGTTCAATAGCAGCAAACCAAGGCCAAGTGCCTATCACGTGCCTGTTTCAAAGAATTCTGGCCCTTGCCCTCAAGGCCTTAAGACCCAGGGCAGTTTTTCCAGTTTGAAGACCACTTACTTTAGAATTGTTCCAGGTGCTTATAAAAATGTGAATTTCTTTCC